AGAAGGCAGGGACATGGTGGGTGATGGGCAGCGGGCCACCTCTGGCGTGTGGCTTGAAGACTCGATGACGTATTTCTCCATCCGTGACTGGCGGCGTGCGTAGAGCTCAGCCCCCTTCCCAGAGGCCTCGGAGAGGTTCTGGTTGGGTTTGGGCTTCGGCTTGGCCTGGATGCGGGGTGACTTGAGGCAGGAGGCCCACTCTGGGAGTGCCTCCTCCGCCGCCGGGCTGGCTCTGTCACGAGGGGCTGGCTCCTGCTGGAAGTTGGAGGCCTCGGCCCCCAGGGGCAAAGGGCTCCTCGTCCACGCCCACCTCCCCTTGGTCCCTCTGCCGCCGCTTCTCATCCGCTGTCTGTACCAGATCCAGCAGGTCTGGATTCGGGGTCACCTTGGGCTTCTCCACAAAGGTGAACATGGATTTGCGGCTGCCCCGGCGGGCCATCGACTCCTCCAGGATGCCCGTCTTGCTGGCGGGAACCGCCTGGCCCTTCAGGTGAGAAGACCTGGGGTCGGAGCTGGGTACAGGGCAGAATAAGAGGGAGGAGACCTCACCCAGGAAGCCAGAGGGGCTGTGGACAAGGTCTCAGTGTAGGTGGGGGGTGGAGTGAAGTTCCCCAAGGGGCGTCTCTCTGAGACCGGGCTTCGCTGCCCCATCAGCCTCCTTTCCACCATGGGGCTGCAGGACATGATATGTCTCTGTGGCCGGGGGCTCCTGTCTGGCATACTTGGGGGCTGGGGAGCCGGGGCCTTCTCCCCAAAATGTCGTCTCTCTAGCATGGGGCTCCTCTCCATCTGGCTGGTGCCCCCTGGCGCCTGGATCCCAAAAGGCCTGGCCGTCCTGTTGACCACTGATGGGGGCTTGGCCAGTGTGAAGTGGACCTCACTGTATACCTTGGTGGGTGTGGTGGCAGCTGCTCGCCCAGACATCTCTTGATCTGCTGACACCACTAGGGTGTTGGGCTGGATGTCGATGAGCAGGGAGCTGGACATGAAATCTGAGGCTGGGGGCCTGGAGCTGGGGATGAGCGTAGCTTCTCTGGAGAAGGTGCTCGTGGCAGGAGCTGGAGTCGACACCTTGTCAATTAGGAGCGTGCTGCATCTCACCTCCTCGGCCGGTGCCTGGGGTTGCCCGTCAGCACACAAGGTGCTGGGTTTGGAAGCAGGCACCGTGCCATTGGATGGGAGCTGGGCCTCTGAGGAATTCTGCTGGATGCCAGAAAGTGGCAGGCTCTGTGGGACGGCAGTTGCCGGGGGGTTCTGATTGACATCGGTGGCTGGCGGGTTGTGGCTGCTGTTAGAAGCGGCTGTGGTTAGCGTGGCACTGGGCGAGGCGAGGTTTTGGTTGACATCTGCAGCCGGGCTGTGGGCCTCCGCTGGAGGTGGGGCCGGTGAGGACTGCTGGGCCTCTCGGTTTTGGGACAGGTGGAGCCCATTGGCCGTCAGCAGTGCCGCATTCTCCTTTAGATAAACCACCAGTGGCACTTCTTCCTCCTCACTGGCCACCTTCTCCAGGTGCCGGAGCAAGCTATCCTCCTCTGAGTAGCCCTCCATGCTGTGGCCAGGTACCCCTCTGTCGGGGCTCTGGGGACTGGGGTGCTGTGGAGGGCCTGGCTCCGGCAGCGAGGTGGAACTCAGGCTGAGCCCTGGGGCATGACCTGGGGGGCTTGCAGGGAGCACCCTGAGGGACTTCTGGCTGGGCTTCTGTCCCCTCTGGCCGTGGCTCTCCAAAGTGAACTCGTTCACCCTCTGCCGGCGCCTGTTGAAGAGCTGGACACCGCGGGAATTGGAGCTGGGGCGGGTGGTCAGCTGGGCTGCGATCTGCTGGCTCCGCACCTTGGCCTCTTTCAGATCCTTCTCCGTGAGGCTAGTGCTCCGGCCCAACGCTGCGGGAAGGAACAGAAGCCCAGTTAGCAAACAGGCATGCAGTGACACAGGGGTGAGACCCCAACCCAGGTGGCGCTGAAGGAATTAAGAAGCAGACACAAAGATAGAGTGCAAAATGGGACTATCAGGGGGCCAGCAGCCTTCTGAGCTGAGAGCCTCAGGGCTGACAGCATTCTGGGCTGAGACAGACAGGCGTACAGAGATGGGTCGCCTCGGCCCTTCCTACACAGGATCTCTTCCTCTGGAATTTGATCCTCACTCACCGTTTCTTAGAATTAGCTCACTTCGTCATCAGCCCGGATCTACCTTTCATGGCCCCACTCAAATGCCACCACCTCTACACCGCCCTGATTATCCTCTCAGGATTAACTGGTCCTTGATTTGGATGCCCCCTGACAGTTGCTGATACGGCGTTGTACCAGACTGAGAGTGAATACCTCACCCTAGAAGTCCCACTGTGTCCCTGGCTCCTCTCCCACCAGCCTTCTCTTCTCTCACTAGGCTCTGCCACCCCGGCTTGCTTTCTCTTCCATGAAAATGCCAAGGATGTTCCTGCCCCAGGGCCTTTGGACTCGCTGCTCCCTCTGCTTGGAATCATCTTTTCCTCGGCAGCAGTCCCTGCTGGTTCCTTCTTGCTGCTCAAATCTCAGCTGGAATGTCCTCTCTCTGGAGGCGCCTTTCCTTCTCCTACCCCACCTGTTTTATTTTCTCCGTAGCATTCACCAAGTCGAAATGGTCTTTACGTTACCCTGTCTATTACCCGTCTCCTCACCCAGCGCAGAGCTCCAAGGGGCGATGGCCCTGCCTGTCTTGTTTTTCTGTCTGTCTTGAGAAGGAGTTTTGCTGTTGTGGCCCAGGCTGAGGCGTTCACACTCAGTTTGGTAAAATGTCGTATCAGCAACAGTCAGGGGGAATCCAAATCAAGGATGGCTAATAGTTCCCCTTTTTAGAGCAGGTAATGCATGAACATGGGCTAAAAATTTATTTATTCATTCGATTTTATTTTATTTTTACTTTTCTGAGATAGGCTCTTGCTCTGTTGCCCTGGCTGGAGTGCAGTGGTACTATCATAGCTCACTGCAGCCTCAACCTCCTGGGCTCAAACCATCCTCCCACCTCAGCCTCCCAAGTAGCTGGGAGTATCAGTGTGTGCCACCGTTCTTAGCCTTTTTTTTTTTTTTTTTTTTTGTATTTTTTGTAGAGAAGGGGTCTCACTGTGTTGCCCAAGCTAGTCTCAAACTCCTGGGCCTAAGTGATCCTCTGGCCTTGGCTTCCTAAAATGCTGAGATTACAGGCATAAGCCACCATACCTGGCCCTAAAAATTAAAACATAAAAAAGTATACAGTAAAAAGTGTAGCCCCATCCCTGATGACTCCACATCACAATTAGGTAATCACCCTTGTCAGTTTCTTCTATATCCTCCCAGGATTTCTTCCCACTTTTACTTAAATGATCATTTTAAAATTCACATCTTTTAACACCAGAAATGTAACAAATTGAGCTAGTTTCACCAATGACTGCACTGGAACATTGCATTCTTTAGTTTTATCTGCACAAGACCACAATGAGACAAGCATTGCTTGCCTGTGTTTTACAGAAGAAACGGAGGTTCAGAGATATATAAGTAACTGCCCCAGGTTGCAAAGCCAAGGGTGACAAAGCTGGAGTCAGAAATGTTCTCTCTCGGGTCTCCAGCCCATGCTCAAGCTGTCTGCTCATCCCAAAAGGTCTCTTTGGGACACAGGGGACAGGAACAAGGTCATCAAGAGTCAGGGATCAGTCTGGGACTTGAGGTCCTGAGATCAGGCTAAGATCAGTCCCCTATTAAACTATAAGATCACTGTAGGCAACCATTTCTCTTTCTATCTCCAGTGCTCAGCTGGCACAGAGTTGGTGCTCAATTTATAGTTGTTGAATAATAGATGAACAAATGATGCATGAACAAATGCATTGCAGACAGGTGGATGGACCAGCCTGAGACCAGGGTCAGAAGCAACATCCGCGGCTGAGAAAATTCCCGTCTCCATCAGCCCTCTCCTCCCGACTGTGGGAAGCTAATTAGTTCTTGAGGAATCTGACCCTGCCCTCCTCTCCCTTGCCCTCATTAGCACTGGCTATGGCATGCTGAGTCCGTCTCCAGGGACAGTCTTTCTAGGCATCTTGCCAGCAAGGCTCTAAATTCATGGACTCAGAGCTGGAAGCGCTCTTACAGAGGAGGTGTTTCATCACCACTCTGTTTTATAGGTGGGAAACAGAAGTCCAGAGAGTAGCCCAGGGTAGAGCCTGCTAACCCCCACAAGGGAGCCACAGGGAGGCCCACAGAGAGCAGAGAAGCTGCAGCCACAGGCCTTCTGGCTCCAACCTCTTCCTTCCCTCCTCCATCAAACCTGGCATCCCCCTCACCTATTAGAAACAGTGAGAGCACATCAGGTAACCACTGTTGTCAGTTTCTTCTATATCCTCCCAGGATTTCTTTCTGTCCCACCCACCCATGATACTGCTGCCCCCGGTAGGACTCCTCTCCTGCCTGGATTGCCCCACCTATTAAAGGTGTCTGTTAGCCATCTATTAGCCAGGCTGCTCCCCTGGGGGGAGCCTAAGCAAAGGGGTGCCAGCCACACAGGAGGGCTCTGAGAGGTTGCTCAGCTCATGTAGCATCCATCTCTGCTCCGCTTAGAAACCAGGCCTCCTGGCCTGAAGACAAGCTCTGCCATTTGCTAGCCATGTGACCACAGCAAGTTACTGTACCTCTTAGAGCCACAGTCTCCTTAACTTGACATGAGAGTTGGGAGGCCACAGTGAGATCATGAATGCCAAGGCCTGACTGCCATGAAGCCCAGGTAGACAGACAGAGGGCTCATGCTATCCTGGCATAAGCTGGCTGTTGGTCACCCCATTCCACTCCCTGGAAAAGGTCAGATAATCTTCTAGCACAGGAGAGTCACTGAAGGTCGAACAGCAGGGGATCCCAGACTGACGGGGAGGCAGAGCTCACCGCCCCAAAACACAGAACCTCAGGATCTCAGAGGTGGCTGTCACCAAGTCCAATCCCCACACAATTCTTGCATCTTCAAAACCACACTCTTGAGTGTACAAGTCTCTGCTTACATACCCAGGTGACATGAGCTCACTACCCCCGGAAGTGCCTTCCACTAATTAACATTCCTCAGCTAGAAAGTTCCTACTTTAACTTACATCCCCTTTTTTTTTTTTTTTTTTTCTGAGACAGGGTTTTACTGTGTTGCTTTGGCTGGAGTGCAGTGGCGCCATCATGGTTCACTGCAGCCTCAACCTCCCAGGATCAAGCGATCCTCCCACCTCAGCCTCCTGAGTAACTAGGACTACAGACATGCGCCACCATGCCTGGCTAATTTTTGTATTTTTTGTAGAGACAGGATTTCACAATGTTGCCCAGGCTGATCTTGAACTCCTGAGCTCAAGTGATCCACTCACCTCAGCCTCCCAAAGTGCTGGGATTACAGGCATGAGCCACCACGCCCGGCCTTCATCCACTTTCTTTTTCTTTTCTTTTCTTTCTTTTTTTTTGAGATAGAGTCTTGCTCTGTCACAAGGCTGGATTGCAGTGGCGCGATCTTGGCTCACTGCAATCTCCGCCTCCTGGGTTCAAGCAATTCCCCTGCCCCAGCCTCCCAAGTAGCTGGGACTACAGGCACTCACCACCACGCCTGGCTAATTTTTTTGTGTTTTCGTAGAGATGGTGTTTCACCAGGTTGGCCAGGATGGTCTCTGCCTGACCTTGTGATCTGCCCGCCTCAGCCTCCCAAAGTGCTGGGATTACAGGAGTGAACCATTTCACCCAGTCCTTATCCAATTTCTTGATGTGGTTCTGCCTCTCTGGGGCTGCACAGATAAAAAGTTTTCTCATTCATTCCAGCCTGACAGCTCTGCAGAGATTTACAGATACATCACATCCCCTTGGGACAGAGTCAGGATAAACACTCTAGTCTGGCCAGTGCTTCTTATGACATAGTTGCAGCAATAGTAGCTAACATTGGTTGGTCACTGACTATATATCTATACATGCACTTTGCTCATTTAATTTCCAAAGCAACCCTAAAAGGCACAAACTATTATTATGCACACTTGTTGATGAAAAAACTAAGGCTCAGAGAGGTAAAGTGAGCTGCCCAAGATCACAGGACCAGAAAGAAGTAGAGCTGTGTTCACACCTGGCTGTACGTGACTGCAGAGAGCACCAGGCTCCTGGCTGGCCGGTTCCCACCGTGCGAGGCTCATAGAAAGCACTTCAGTGTTTGATTAATCCAGACCTCTCAACGCCCCTGCATTTTTCTGCTTTTTTCCTTACTGGCTCTAGAAGGCCATGGGTTTAGAAAATCTTCAAATGTCAGAGTGTAAAGGGCCTTTAGAGATAAGCTGGCTTGGGAGGCCCAGTGAGGGAAGGGGCCAAGAGAGGAGAATATGAGCCCAGGACTGGGTCAGCTGACTCCCACTGAGGCTCCATTCACAGCCAGGGCTGCTGCTAAGATCCCATCGCCACCACTTCTCTGAGCTTAGAACTGCCCCCAAGCTACCGTTCTGTAACAAGAAGAATGACGAAAAAGGTCGAGAGGTAAGTGAGCCCTGCCCCCCAAGGCGAGCTCCTGCAGCCCGAACTCTAGCCCACAGTGACTCCACGGAAAAGGAATTCAGCAGGAGGTTTGGAATAGATCCAGCCAGCCATCCAGATGACTTTTGCCACCCTTCACAAACAAAGCTGGTGGGGGCACCCCAGAGTCCCTTGTAGCAGAGCACCATGGGCAAGTCCATCTAAAATTCCTCAGACTAGGGAGCTGCCCCCTCTGGCAATATCCCAGGCAGCTGCTCCAAGGCGGTGCTCCTGGTGTCAAAGGGGTGGGAGGTAGCCAAATCCTGCAGGGGACAGGTACCCCACTGAACCCTCAGTCAACCCGGCTGTGGCCTGTTTTTGTGCAGGTCACGATGCCCCTACCGCCTCCCCACCTCAACTTCTACAGGGCC